AAGTCCCCTTATCCTGTCATTAAAATTTCAGGATGTATCATTAGGGTACATATGTTGTATCCGGATGGCACTCGTTCATGCATACATGATCACATGAAGAAACCAGCTGGTTCTTTGAAGGACAAAAAACCCAATTTTTATGTTAAATATACTTCCATAGTTCTTCAACACTATTATTGGAAATACTGTCAAGTCCCATTATTATCTTAAAAGAAATCTATAAAGATTACCAGAACTCATTATTACCAGTACTTGATAAGAAAGCTCTTACTATGGAGCTTGGATGCTCTAAAAGATACAGAGCACACATGACTATCAAACTAAGGTGTGAAAGGAAGAGTCACCATAATTTAAAGCAGCCACAGAAAGAGTAAGGATATGCATTAGGCTTGATCTTGTAAAATAGGCTGTTTTGTAGTCACTGAACTCAGCTGGTGTACAGTAATACACAAAAGTAAACCCTGGTATATTGTTTCAAGAGAAAAGGCACAATTAAACATGATCAAATATTACTGCATAAGAAAGATGTCTGGCCCACAGTGCCACAGAAAAGGAGCACACTAAAGAATTACTTATAAAACTGTGATCTGTACTCAAAATTATTGTGTTTTAAAACTGGTAGATTTTAGAAAGACAGTGGCCCTTGAAACCAGACAGAACAAGATCAATTAACCTCAGCTTCCCATTCCATACCACACAAATGCATAAACACACATAGATACCAAGGGATATTAAACTGTAAGCTCACCAATAATGTAACAGGATGTTAAATGTCAGATAGTCTACCAACAGGGAAAAATGAGAGCACTGACTAAAATATTGTTACTAGCTGAATCTCACGACTACACATGTATACAAACTCTCATGTACGAATTTCCTCTCATGTAATTGGCTCTATCATGTGTCTGTGGCAATACTTCCCTGCAATAGCTATTTAAAATAGGATACTTTTAGGTATTCATTACCTGGCTTGACTTGATTGCCATTTCTTGCCTCAGTTGTTCCAAGACTTGTGATGCTACTTCCGTATCTTCTTCAAGGCGCATTGCTCCTTCATCAAGTTGCTCTCTGCTTGCTTTTGCTGCCTGCAGAGCTACTTCCAAAACAATCTTCTCATTCTGCAAATACTGGATCATGTCATCTTTAGAAGTAGTGTCACTTTGGAACTCTTCTAATCTGGCCTTCAGTTCATCATACTGTGTTTGCAGGTCATCCAGGGACTGCTCTTTGGTGTGCAATGTCTCTTGGGTCAAAGTGAATTGCTTCATTAGGTCTAGGTGTTCTTGCTGTAAAGATTCAAGCTGTAGATCTCGCTGATGCAAAGTCAACTTGACCTGAGAAGAAGTATTTTAAGATTAAATTCATACAAAATGAAAGTTATCTTTGCAAATGCACTCCAATCAAAATAAAATATTTCAACTAATATTTTATCTTCTAGGAGAAAATAGCAGAAGATGAAAATGTTTTTTAACTTTCCTAGGCCACTTCTAATTGCGCTAGTAATTGCGCTGATTGCCTTCTGCAGCATCTGTAATCTTTCAGGCTAAGCAGCGACCAGAATGACAAACCTAAAATATTCTTAAGTAAGATTCACAGTATTCTAAATTTTTATTTGCAAAATGTTTCCACAGTAGATATACCAGGTAAATTCAGTGCTATCAATTATAATGCCATATAACTACACGGAATATAATACTGAGCTATCACATAATTCATTTCATTCCAGCCCTTGACATACTGTCTTTGTAATGATACAAGGTTAAAGCAAGATGCTGTGGCAAAGTGCAGATTTATTAGGCTGTAAGTGTACATAATGATATCCTGACTGCCTAACAACTTTGCCCATGGATCTATGTTTCTTGTCAAGGCTTAGAATAATCATATACTGAATTCACTTAAAAAAACCCCACAAAACCAACATCTACAACACAGTAATTCTGAAATATCAAAAAAGTACTGTTACGGAAATGGTTAAAAAAAAAAAAAGGGAGCCTTTCCACCTGGGACAGAGTGGCTTTGATATGAACTTCATTTTTGCAACAATCTTTCAGGTTTTAAAAAAAAGTTTAGAGCTCAGTATCTATTTATTATTGCCTTTTCAGCCAAATAAGTATTTCCCCTGAAACCCTTGGGAAGTTACCTAACAACAGCCTACCTGTTCCAGTTCTTGCTCCAATGTTGCTGCAGAATCAGCCATTTTCTGAAGCTGTTCTTTCTCATCCTCAAACTCCTCTAATTTTCTCTGCAAGTCTTCTTCCACCATGGTTTTAGCTTCCTGGATCTGCATGAAGGCAGCTTCTTGATCTAACATGTCAGCCTGCACAGAAAAAAAAAGGAATTAGCTTTTACAATTTCAGTAGAGGTGAAGGGGTGGGAAAAAGAAGAAGAAAAAAAAAAAAAGGAAAAGAAAAAGGTAAAATCTCAAGAAAACGTCTAGAGAAAAAACACAAGCAAATAGAATTCTGACGTCTGCCTTACAGACCTGTATGTCTTTACTGAAGTCACCCATTCATATACTTAAGATACCCTAGAATAACAGTGAATGTCTTGTATACTTGTGATAATCAGAACTCCTCTTAAATAACACCATATCCTTTCTAAATTGATGAAACAAGACATAAAGAAAAAGATTCTTTATTAAAATTAAGCTGTTTGGAAAAATTCTGAAACAAAAAAAAGATTCCTTGGATGCTGTAGCTACTCCATCATATAGCAATTCCTGTCATTTATGCAACCGCTATCAGTAACACTGGAGATGCGGTGCCTCCAACAACCTGCAGCTTTACTGCCCTTTG